CACACACACACACACACACACACACACACACACACACACACACACACTCTTCCCCCTATAGCCCTGCAGCCGCCCCCTCCTCCTGCTCCACGCCGAGCCGAGGCAAACCGATCGATATTCTATCACACAGAACAGTGGAGCGAGAGAGAGGAGGCCACGGGCCAGCCAGATTACTGGGAGGAGGAGGGGGAGTCTGAGGGAGGAGGTGGGGGGGGGGGTTAGGGGGTGACAAAAAGACTTTGTGTGTGTGTGTGTGTGCGCGTGTGTGTGTGAGTCAGAGGAAGCGAAAAAGGTTTTAGGGGAAGGTAAGGATGTGTGTGCAAAAAGGGGTTTTAGCGTGCGGGTGTAATCGGGTAGGAGATTGAGAGGTGTGTGTGTGAGTGTGTGTGGAGGGAGGGAGTGTGGGGGTTGAGTGGGTAGAAGATTGAGCGTGTGTGTGGTTGTTATGGAGGATAAGAAAGGGATGTGTGTGTGTCATAATGAGTGGAGTGGAGCTGCAGTGCTATGAGGCATCTCCTCTCCTTTCTATTCTCACAGATGTTTTTTCTGTGGATCCCCGGCTCTGTGTGCCGGTGAATAGATGCTTTCATTTACCCGAGGGTGCCCGGCTCCAGCGGGCTCCTCGCACATTACCCACACCTGCAGAGGAGGAGACAAAAGAGCCGACGGGGCTCGGGCCCAGAGGCAGAGCCCCCCCCCTCTACTCCCCCAGTCCACCGAGAGCCGAGCCCCAGCCGCCCGAGACGTGCTTTTAAGGGCTTTTCATCCACAGTCGGTGGAACTGATCTCAGGAGCCACAGGAAGGGTGGAGAAGACACGCCGAGATGGGATCTACATTTATCTGCCCGCGGAGCGCGGTGTCGGAAAGGCATTTTCAGCAGAAGCTTAAGTCAGAGATGGCTATCGGAGGGAAGTCCACGTCTCACCGGTGACCTTCTGTCCCCCTCTGGATGCTGAATGTGCTTAATAGGACATCCACCCGTCCACTATCTGCTCTCCCTCATCCTTCAGAGGGGGCCCGGCCGACTCGGGGCCACGGGGAAGGCAGCCAGTGCAATTTACACCCCGAAAAACGCTGCTTTAAAACACAAACCAGACGACGGGCCAAAGTCAGATGTACAACAGAAGCTGCTTCGACTTTTCCGACTCATCAAGAGTCTGGTGGTCGCAGCATGTTGGAAAAGTGAGAGGAATTAAAAAAAGAGGAACAAGCTGCAGCGAGTTTGGTCAGTTGGCACCATTTTAAATATAATTTAGCATAGAAAGAGCACCCAACAGAGGAAGAATATCTGCAAAAAAACATGTTCCTCCAAATTGTGGAGCAGCTTTATAATGAAGCAGATGGGATTTGGGTACCTCATCATCTATAGAGCATATAGAGTTTGCTGTTTTACCTAAACAGTAAACTCCTGTACTCTTAATGCTCAAAGTTTTTTTTGTTTTTGGTTCCTACTTATAATTATATCAGTTTGTAAGACAGTTCAGGTTGGATCAACTTATTCAAGGTGCTTTCTGCTTACAAAAAAACAAGAAATTCTGATTTTTTCTGTTCTTAATATCTTAGGAGGAAGCAACTGTGGCTGCATCATAATCAGGGCCGTTCAAACAAATAATGAAACTTGGAGCTCTTATTGACAGGTGGGGGGCAATGAGACAATCATATGTTGTTCAGTTAATCTAAAAGGAGTTTTCTCTGCACAAAACCCTAAATGAGGTGTAGGTTTCAGGGTTGCAGATGAGTTTCTAACAGATTGTCTGAATGTGTGTGTGCAGGAAGCAGAGGCCTGAAAGTGTCGAGCAGCAGGATGAACAAAACTCCAGAGAGAAATCACAAAAACCGGGCAAACCACCAAAAGAGGTGACCTATATCCCTAGGTTACAAGGGTGTGTGTCAAGTGGGCAGCGGCCCTCATTTGCTCTGTGAGCCCTGTAATAGTATTCATGAAACATGAACACCAGTGCACTCAGTCAGTGTGAGCGTGCGCAAATAAAAAACTCATCCCCTCACACGCACTTGAGCAGCATGAAGCCGAGTCCCACGCTGAGGTTTCTCTCAGCTTCTCTGAATAAAAACCAGGCAGGACATGCACACATTCCTGGATTTCAATTTGATTTAAGTGGAAACGATGATAAATTTGCTTATATTAGAATTTGAACTAGTCTAACATTGGTAAAGGATCATAAACCTTTAGGCTGATGATGCATGTAGGCAGTAAATCACAGCTTTATGATTTATTGTAGAACAACTGGGGCTCAATGCTGCTAAATATTGTTGATTTTATCATTATTTTGACAGTAAGGTGTTTGGTAAGGATAATTTTAAATCTTTAACTTTACACCGTTTTCGTTCAAAGAGTCAAAATGAAGCTGGTGTGAATTAGAATTTAGGAGCCAAAGAAAGGTTTGCTAGTGTTTTACCCCCCTCTCAACCACATTCCGTTCATAGACCCGCAGCATAAGGAAATCTCAGAGGTTAGGTTAACTGGGACTGTATCCGTACATCTAAACACAGATTAGCTGCAGCATGAAAAACCACCGAGAGGTGAAGCATCGCTGCTCATCATGCAGGTGAAGACGGCCCAAAACAGGCTCGGACATTTGCATCTTCTGGAAAATGGCCCCCTCAGTCTGAAAACCCGTTCCTCACATTAAGCGACCTCCTGCGGTTGGACGGGCTGGTCGGAGGCTTCGACACCATGGCCTGCTCAGTATTAGGTTTGTGGTCAGGATGTCATTGATAGCTTGTCTCATCTTCTTTAACCTGAGCTAAATTCAATCCATCCATCATCTCTACAGGTTTAACCCCGACTCAAGGTCGGGGGGGTGGGGCTGCTACTGGCCGGGGGGCTCTGATGGGTCACCAGGCCGTCTCAGGGCCCCCGAAGACACCAACGCCCGGCTGCTGATGTTTAAATCAGAGTGGATCTTTGTTTCTGTGGTGTTTTATGGTTGTGGACATATGTATATCCAGCTCAGGGTTCATTTAAAATCAGATTATCTACAACTGGGGATAAAAATGAACCCTGTTTTACTCTCAGAGAAAAGTTCTGAAGCTTAAACAAACATTACTAAAAGTTTGAACAAACTCAAAGCTTTTAAACCTTCAGAACATTTAGAATAAAGATGCTAATTCTCCTTCTGTTAGCGGCTCATACTTTCATGCAGTTGCTGGATGGACGGAGAGATTAGTCTGATTACCGATCTACATTTCTTCTTCTGAATGTTTGATTAGATAAATGAGATCGGCTCCTCCTGGTGCCTCGCTGCCTGAAGCTGAAGGACTTCCACAAGCTGAGGCTGTGAAAACTGGCCCCACTGGGGTCAGGACGGTTGATTTTCTGATAAGAGTCCACACAAAAACAAACTGGAGACCAACTGAAAAAGAGAGATCCTTTTGTTTTTTTTCCCTTTCTGCTTTTTTTTTTTTTTTTTTAAACGCCGCCGTTTCACTCGTAGAGGCGTCGCGCCTTTTCCACATTTTGACAGATTTTAATAATGAAACCGGAGAGAAATCTCTTTTTCCTAGGACACAGAAAGGTTGATTTTTTTTCCCAACGGGGGTAAGATGGGGTGAGGGAGATCGGGGAGGGACGGGGGAAAGCGGGTGGAGGTTTTACAGGGAGGAGGGTTAGCACGGTGCTCACTAACAGACAAACAGTGACAGATAAACAGGCTGGGGTGGGGGGGGGGGTCGGGGGTGCGGAGGAGGAGGAAAGCGGGGGGGGGTGAAGGAAGAGAAACAGTGTGCTTTGTCGTATCTGAATGAAAACAAGTTGCTCTTAGACCCACAAACTTAAAACCTCTTTTGCTGTTTAAAAACCACCTTTTTCCCCTGTTGAGGGTTCAGGTGAGTCGGCCTTGAGACTGATTTTCACAGACAGGAGGAGGAGGAAAGGGGGGCAGCAGGCAGAGTTTGGCAGTGAGTAGTAGAGGGAAGGGAGAGGGGGGAGAGGGGGAGTCATGGCAGTGATCACTGGGTCCAGAAATGAGGCCACCCGGCGGGAGCTGCCATGTTGTGGCTCTGTGGCGAGTCGGGTTTGACCCCTCTGGTGGGACTCACGAGGCCGACGGCACAAACAGTTACTGGCAGATTACAGCTGGAAGGAGTTTAGAAAAAGAGGACGGAGGACGAGAGGGCATGAGCCTCTCCTCCCCCGTCGCTGGTCCCGTCGACGACTTGGCTTTTGTTTGTTTATTTTTTAGGAGGAGGGATGAGGAGGTTCTCTTGTACATTGTTGAAAATGATGGGAGAGGAAGTAATGGAGGGGGGGGGGGGGGGGGGAGTGGGAGATAGAGAAGAAGGGAAGGATGGGGCTAAGAAGAAAATGGTGCTCTGATCATTTAATAATACGTCTCTTTTTCCACCCAGCCTGGAGAGAGAGAAGAGAAGGAGGGAAAAAAGGAGGAGAGAAGAGTTACCCATAGAAGTGTGCCAGAGGTTTTTAGATTTTAGGTTTCAGAAGTTTTCAAATCTGCCTTTCTGAGCCCCGATCAGACAAGTTTGAAGGACTCCTTTGAGGTGGGGGGGTTCTTACCTCCAGGGTTTCGACGGAGGATGAGTTTTCGGATCTCATCGTAGACAAAGATGAGGAAACTGTAGGGGAACGCACAGAACCACCAGCTGGGCCTAAGAGAGGGCGACAGAAGTGGGTCACAGAGAGAACCTTCCTGTTGTTCAGATGCTGGATCATAATGTAGAGCCCTGATTAGCACCAGTCTCTGCTCTCATTTAGTCCCAAAGGGAAGCCTGGTGCTGCATGGAGGCCTTCCTAAAGTTTGCGGACTTACTTGAGTGGGTACATCCTGAGAGCCACGTCCATCCCAGGGCAGTAGGACAGGAAGGCAGCGAGGGCCGTTTCCTCAAACAGACCAAAGATTAAAATCTTATTCCTGCAAGAAAAGAAGTGCAAAAAAGAAAAAGTGAGAGAACATCACATTAATGTCTGTGAAGCTGGAGGTCAATCGCTGGTCTTTAGTGACACCTGGTGGACACAGCTGGTAACTACACCCAAACCGCCCCTGGCAGCATGAACAGGTCGTTTACGGGGGGGCGTTGGCCGCAGTTTGAGCTGGGCTGCTCACATCTGGACACGGCTGTGTACTCACTTCATGCCCTGCTGGAACACAGAGTTGCGTCTGGTCTTGCAGATGATGACGTCTGCCCACTGCACCACCACGATGCTCACAAAGAAGGCCGTGTGGCATGTGAACTCCACAATCTTGCGCTGCTCGTAGGTCTGAGTGGAGACAGGCAAGCAGAACAAGGCGCTCAGTGGTTATTCTTCCCACTTCAACCCCCCCCCCCCCCCCTCGTTCCTACTCGACACTCTCTGCTACAATTACAGCTCCTGGTACTCGTCCTATTGCTATCATTGCTGTTTTCATTATCATTAACATCACTATGAATATTTACCTTTTTTCATCCAGTCTATAGCAACACCACCTTCCCCTGCTCTTAGGTCCTTCTCTCTCTCTCACCCTCAACTGGTCGAGGCACATGGCCGCCCACCCTGAGCCATGGTTCTGCTGGAGGTTTCTGCCTCCGAAAGGCAGTTTTTACTTCCCTGTTTCTCCTATTGCTGCTTTTGGTGGGAACTGTTGGTTCCCTGTAAATAACTCAGAGTAGGTCTGACGTGCTCTGTTGGGGAAGCTGTGAGATACCTGCTGTTGGCATTTGGTGCTACGGAAATAAAATTGAATTGAATTACCCATTGCTGCCCATAGCTGTCCTCCAGGTCGTTGTTGGAGCGGTCGTCCCAGTTCAGCCGGATGCCGACAAGCACGGACGGCAAGAAACCGTTTTCAGCCATGATGACGAAATAAGCAAAGAAGCCGCCCAGCGCTTGGATCATACCTGCAGAGTTGGAGTGGAACAGAGTTGGCCCTAAAAACCAAAACATTGATGCTCCGAGCCGGCGTCAGTCTGAAGGGGTCCCTATGCATCGGGCCCCTTTCAACGCCAAACGCCGGCCGGCTCTGAGACAGAAGCAGTCAGGGCTCTTACCGATCTGCCCATAGGCGATGCTGATGAGCCTCTCGTTGACCAGTTTGTCCCTCAGCGGGTTCCTGGGCTGGCGCTTCATAATGTCGCTCTCTGCAGCTTCGTAAGCCAGAGAGATGGCTGGAACCTGTCAGAGAGGGAACAGGAGAAACTATTTTTCCTGTCCTCTCATTTTTCCTGGCTGTGGTCATTCTGAAAATAGCCATCAGTACTGAAAACAGTCTTCTCATGTAGGAGATCTGATGATCTTCGATCTTGTTGGACTCATTTGCTGTCGTGACCTCATAAAGATCCTCAAGTTCATAGCTTTAAAGCCAATTTCTGGTTTCTGTACCTCCTAATATGCTAAGCCCACTTAAGATATAATAAAACCACATCAGGTATTGTAACATACTCTTCTGCACCCACAAACTGAGAACTAATCGACTCACGCACATGGATCAAAAAGGAGCTTGTCATCCACTTTTTCTGTCATCTACTCATTTCAGTGCTTCATCTAAACAGTTAAGGAAACAAGTAAGGAATCAAAGAGGGATTCAATTTAAGATGTAGTCCTGTGCTGCCACCTAGTGTTCTTCCTACTTCAACCCCTTATAATGCTATCCTGCTATCTTAATCCACAAGAAGTGGAGTTGTTGTAAAATGTGTGTGTAGAATCTGCATGTCTGATGGACAGTTCTGAAGTTTCAACGTGGACTTTGTTTCTTTATGCTGCTGTGTGACATCAGTTCTCTCAAATATGTGTTTTTAGATGAATGTGAAGAGGCAGGCGGGGCTTCCTCACCATGTCAGTTCCCAGGTCGATGCAGAGAATAGTGATGGTGCCTAGAGGCAGTGGGATGTTGACCAGGATGAAAAACAGGAAGGGGGTGATCTCTGGGATGTTGCTGGTCAGCGTGTAAGCGATGGACTTCTTCAGGTTGTCAAAGATCAGACGACCTGGAGGGACGGATACATTAATGTAAGGGAGGGGCTTAAACACAGAGCAGCTCTCTCTCCCTCCATCAGTCGGTTTCTGCATCGCTCACCTTCTTCGACTCCAGTGACGATGGAGGCAAAGTTGTCATCCAGCAGGATCATGTCGGCAGCTTGTTTGGACACATCCGAGCCAGAGATCCCCATGGCGACGCCGATGTCAGCTTTCTTCAAGGCAGGGGAGTCGTTCACCCCATCCCCGGTCACGGCCACGATGGCACCCTGATGAAGCAGGAAAACGGGCCCTCATTAGATCCTGAAGAAAAAGGAAAAGCACCACCGGAGCTGCCGGTGAGACCTGCCTGTCTCTGGCAGCCCTCCACAATGATGAGCTTCTGCTGCGGGGAGGTTCTTGCAAAGACGATTTCTGTGTGGTTCCTCAGAATATCGTCCATCTGGTCCTGAGACAGGTCTTTCAGGTCGGTGCCGTGGATCACGCAGGCTTTAGCATCCCTGCAAACGCACAAACCAAAGGACAGATTGATACAAACATGCCTCGGAGTTTCAATAACTGGGACGAGCCTGTGTTAGCTTCATGTCTCACCGGGGGTTGACTTGGCTGACGGGAATGTTCAGGCGTGCAGCGATGTCCTCCACCGTCTCGTTGCCTTCAGAGATGATGCCCACTCCTTTAGCAATGGCCTTGGCTGTGATTGGGTGGTCGCCGGTCACCATAATGACCTACAGGGCAGCAGGAAGCGGGGAAATAACCATTAACCAGAGAGGAAAAAAAGGGATTTGAGCAGATGCTAAGATGCTGGGGTGGATACGTGGGTTGGCTAAAGGTCAGAGGTCGGAGGCACCCACCTTGATGCCGGCGGAGCGGCACTTGCCCACGGCGTCGGGGACGGCCGCCCGGGGGGGGTCGATCATGGACATGAGGCCCACAAAGCAAAGGTTGTCTGTTTGGAAGTTGACGTCGTCCGTGTCGAAGGCGAAACCTTTTGGATATTTGTCCTCTGGCATGAACACATGGCAGAACCCTGCAGGAAGAAAGATGGCCGTCTTCAATTCGATACATAAATAGATAAACCAACAACAAAATGGCTGCCCCTTCAGCCTACCCAGAACGCGCTCTCCCAGTCCCCCCAGCTCCAGGTAGGCGTTCTGGAAAGCCTCCTTCATCTCGTCGTCCATGGGCTGCTCTTTGCCCTGCACCATGATGGTGGAGCAGCGGTCCAGGATCCTCTCTGGGGCGCCCTTCATCACCAGCAGGTAGCGGTTGTCGTTCTCCTCCTCCGTTTCATGGATTGAGAGCTTTGTGGGAACAAATTCAGCCATCAGGTTGCTGTGTGCTCAGGCTTTCACACCTCCTGATTGTAAGGTTCCTTCTTCTTTTCCCACCTGGTACTTGTTGGTGGAGTTGAATGGGATCTCTGCCACCTTCTTATTCTTCTCCCGCATGGCTTTGACTGTGCCGCAGGACAGCTCGATGCACTTCAGCAGGGCCGACTCGGAGGCGTCTCCGGCCACATCCCGCTTCAGGATGGGCAAAGCATCCTGCCCAGCTTTGAACACGGCGCGGTTGCAGAGGGCAGCGACGCGGGCCAATGACACCCATGTTGTTGAGCTCTTGTCGAAGGAGGAGCCTGAAGAGATGGAAAAGGACAAATCTGAGCCTCCCGTGCTTTCCATCTCAGCCGGCATCTGCCCGCTACCGAGGTTGAACTTAATTTTATTGGCTGAGGTCTGTCTGTTGTGCTTTTGGGCTGATCTGAGGTTCACTTTGATGAAATGACCGTTTACAAAAATAACAATAACAAAAAAAACACTGGCCAGAAATCAGAGGAGAGCAGAGGGGATTCTCACCCGACTGGTCCTCTGTGGTGTCAGCTTCATGGATCTGATTGTCGAACCACATGTGAGCCACAGTCATCCGGTTCTGGGTCAGGGTGCCAGTCTTGTCAGAGCAGATGGTGGAGGTGGAGCCCAGGGTCTCCACAGCCTCCAGGTTCTTCACCAGGCAGTTCTTGCGAGCCATGCGCTTGGCTGTCAGCGTCAGGCACACCTGGAAGAAGAGTGTTTGACAGATGAAAGCAGAGAAGGGAGCAGGAGAGACAAGGGGAGGGCGTCACAGCAGGGAGAGGATACAGGGGACACGCGATTCACAGAGGGAGGGACAGAAAAAGAATCAGTGTCTTATACGGTTCAGTACCAGCACAGATGAGCTTCTGCAGGCATTCAACTAATCGAATGAACATTCAGCCCCACCTGGAGACACCCCGAATGCCTGCAGATGCTCATCCTGACACATCCTCCCCCAAAAGCCCCTCAGTATCAAAATGCACTAAACCCCAAACTCTTCTTAGAGCTCAAACACAGCCCACAAGCAGTGCAGAGAGGACACAAGGCATGACGGAGTGAGGGGAGGGAGCAGAGCAGCGGTGCAGTTTATCATCATGCCAAGTACGGCAAGCCCGACGGGCCAAACAGAAGTAGCCACGGCCAAGCACAGAAGGCCAGATTCTGCTCACTGAGCTAAATAGGAAGTGGCCTGGTGTCATTACATTAGCTAGCCGTTGTCATTTCAGCGAGCACCGCCACTGGCCTGGAAAAGAGAGGAGAGAAACATACAAAGAGGCAGATGGAGAAAGACACACAAACACCAGAAGGGCCGTTTTAGGAGAGAAGGAGGTGGAAATCACAACAACAACAACACACCGGCATCACCACAGAAACACAAACTTACACAGAGTTTATCAGAATATCAAAGCTCCAAAACACAGAGATACTCACAACGATGAACAGAAACGTAGAAGAAAGCACAACACACACAGAGGAAAAGAGCACACGACACGCTGTACACCGCAAGACGCACAACTACCACCACCACACAAAGACATGGGTGAAACTCAACTCTGACGATAACGTCTGATTATCAGAATGGTTTAAGCCAGAACGTTCTGAGTTTTCTATCCATCTGCGTAGAAATTAAACCTTTCTCTGAGTTTGTGAGGCTGTTTGGCAGCTTAACCCAAGTCTGTGCACATCACAGAAAACCAGAGAGAAAACACACACAAAGAGGGCAGACAAACAGAAAGGCCAGATTGAGACAGAAAAAACAAAAACAGACAAATGAACACATCCCAAAAACAAACAAGAGTAGAAAATGTATGACTGATTAAATAAAGGGATCCGACCAAAAACAGGGACCCTGCTAACTCACAGTGACTGTGGCCAGTAGCCCTTCAGGCACATTAGCCACAATGATACCGATGAGGAAGATGACGGCCTCCAGCCAGGAGTAGCCCAGGACGATGGAGAGGATGAAGAAGGACACCCCGAGGAAGACCGCCACCCCGGTGATGATTTGGATGAAGTGCTCAATCTCCTTGGCGATGGGTGTCTGGGAAACAACAGGTTGGATGATTAAAGGTCGACTTCTTCCAGCCAAAATGTGCTGCTCTGCTCGAGTAAAGGACATTCATTCAAACTAAATTACTCTGGAAGAGGAAAAGGGATTCTCTGTTCTGGTTCTGTTCTGGTTCCATTTGCAGAGTTTCTTATTTACCTTGCCGGTTTCCAGACCGGAGGTGAGGGTAGCAATGCGGCCCATCACTGTGCGGTCACCAGTGCACACAACGATACCACGAGCAGTTCCTGGAAAAGCACAAGTTACATATTTGTTTTACGGATGAATAAATAAATAGAGTAAAAAGCACAAAATGCGGCAGCGATGAAGCCACGCTGATCCACTCATTCTGGATCTGGTCTCAATATTCTGCCAGGAAGTTTTTCAAGCTTTCTGATTTCTAAGCTGCACAACATGTAAACAACCTTTTTTTTTATTTTCTGGAAAATTAAATAAAAAATATTGTTGAAAAAAAGAGTAAAGAGGCAAGTCACACAGAGAAGCAGAGTGCAGGACTTTATCAGGCCAAAAGATGGCGCCACACATTCAGTTCAAACCCATCCAGAGCCAGTTAAACTCTGGATCTCAATGTTTCTTCTGATCCCAGGATAAAACGGACATTAGAGGGCAAGCCATCAGCAATTTTATAATCAGGCTTAAAAGTATTTGACTAAATCACATTAGTGCATTCACACTGTTGAACAGTGTGCACTTGTTAAGGCGGAAATGCGGAAACACGAGCTGTGTTTATGATTTTTGGATGAAAAATTTTTCTGAAAGACTGCCGATTTAAAAAAACAAACTAATCACCTCACCTTTGTGGGAAAAAGCGCACTTCTCTTTTATAATGAAGGTTTATAAATGTGAAGTGAAATTTTATGAGACATCTGATGCTTAAAGGATGAGGTGTTGATGAGTAGAAACGCTTTACTGCCTCTCTGTGCCAAAGCCCAAAACAGGCAGAGCCATCTGAGCCAGTGATGAACTTGCCTTCAACACAGTTGGTGGAGAAGAAGGCGATGTTGCGGGTCTCCAGGGGGTTATCGTGGGTACAGTCAGGTGACCTGGTCTGAGGCTCGGACTCCCCGGTCAGGGATGAGTTGTCCACCTGGACACAGGAACATGAAACCGCTTTAGGACAAGATGAGAGTGTAAAGGATGGAAAGCTGAAAGCAGAGGCAGTTTCAAAAGCTCTGCGTGTTAAACACGGACAGAAGCGCGGCCCTTTCACTCAGTGAGGTCACAGGATGCGGCGAGTGGCAGCAGCTCACCTTGCAGCCGTGGGAGGAGATGATGCGCAGGTCGGCGGGGATCCGGTCTCCTCCCTTCACCTCAACCAGGTCTCCGGCTACAACCTGCTCGGCGTTGATCTGCATCTTCTCTCCCTCTCGGATCACCAAGGCTTGCTGGAACAAGACGAGGCGAGAAGGCAGCTCTGCTTCATAGTCATTCTCCGAATTGCAGAGCTTTCCAGGAGTCATTTTTCAATCCGTTTCTTCAAATAAGTTCAGTCTAGTTATTACAGCATTAAATATTACAGCACAAACCACATTTCAGCGTGGGACGGTCCCTGAAACACAAACAGTGAGGAGGGACGATTCTTCAACCTCCTCAAATGATTCCTCTACTTCTCCCCTCTAACGAGGCACTTTCTGCTTTATGTAAAACCAGTAAAAAAGCTGATCCTTTAAATAAACCCCCTGCACAGCGTAGTAGATACCTGGGGGACCATGTTTTTGAAGGATTCCATGATCTTGGAGCTCTTAGCTTCCTGGAAGTAGGAGAAGCAGCCGGTGATGATGACGACAGCTGACAGCACGATGCCCAGATACAACTACAGAGACAGGAGGGGGGGGCAAGAATTAAGAAAGAAAGGTATGAATGATAAAGAAATATTCCAGCAGAGATAATAAGACAAATCGGGTCAGGGGCTGTGTGCTCTCATTTGAATGGATGGTCATTTAAAGGGACAAGCCTCTGCATCCTGCACCACTGGGACTGTAGCAGGTTATCGGGGTGTGAGGTCCATTCAGACTGACTCAGAGCCGCCCTGTGGTCATTTACTCGTATCATCACCAGTCACTGAGTCTACACTGTGCTCTGACCCAGCAGGATGCAGCGCTGACCCCGTGTTCACCCCTCTCTGGCTCACTGTCAGCCTACAGCATCCCCACAGTGGGTGCCAGCAGGATGCTGTGTGCCGCTGGAGGAATGATCTGTGTGGCACGATTCACAAAAACAGCTGACAGGAAACTTCTCCCCTACAGCCTGGGCCTCCCTGTTTGAATCCCCGTTAAGTGGTTTGGTTTTTGCATGCAGTTAATTCCATGAATCCATGTGGTTGCTAACCTACACTGTTTTCTGAAATGAATAATATAAAAATAATCTAAAAGGATCTTTCTTTACGGGCATTGCATGAATTCCTGCGGGGGGCATCGACCCTCCCGGCTCTCCACTTACATTGTCCCCGGCGGGTTCGTCCTCCGTGGCAGCCTGGATGGCGTAGGCCAGGAAGCAGAGGATGGCGCCGATCCACAGCAGAATGGAGAAGCCCCCAAACAGCTGACGGCAGAACTTGACCCACTCTGGGGTGGTGGGGGGTGGGGTCAGAGCGTTGGGGCCGTCCCTGGCCAGGTACTCTTCTGCCTTGGCGTTGGTCAAACCCTGTTGTGGAAACGAGGCAGAGGAAAGGTGGATTATCAAAGAAGGGGTGGGTGATGAGGCTGTGAAGGAGGGAAGAAGCTATCTGGATGGAGGCATAATAGAAGGAGCAGACTGGAAAAGCTCCTCTCTGAAAGAGGAGCTCTATATGCTGTAAGACAACACCATCAAATCAAATCAAGGCACATGCAGCAATTTAGAGTCAAAAAGTGTATTTTTTTATATATGACGTGAAGAACTCACCTGCACGATGTCAGTGTTGTATTTCCTGCAAACCTCCTCGACAGACATTTTGTGTTCTGTCTACAAAGAGTTAAGATTGAGACTGTTATCAACCCTGGTATCAACTCTGTTATGACAAGTAATTCAAACATTTGTTGGTCGTTTGTGTCATCAGTGTGTTGTGTGGGTGTGTCCATCTCCATGCTTCTTCCAGGTGTTCTGTCCAGCTGTGGAGGACCGGGCCACCCTTTAACAGCAGGACTGCCTGTGGCCGACTACTGTATTTTGTCAATGGGGAGAACGCATGCGAAAAGCTCAACTCTGAGTGAAAAGAGGGTGATTGTTGCCATTTTTGTTTGTTTCTCTTCTTTATGGTGGATATACTGATTTTCTGCTGCAGGTTCTGTTTGGATTGTGTGTTCTTTATTTGTTTTGTTTTCAGAATTGACAATTTTTTTTGCCAGGTATTCAATACTTTTTCCACCTTCCCAATCATTTTTAAAATTATTTCCTCACCCTGGGAGACTTTATCATTATCCCATAACACTACATAAAAACTTGTTACAGAAAATAAAATAAAAAAAGGTTCTTACGAATAGAGTAAATATTTTATACAAAATGCTCTAAATCAAATCCAGTGGTTTTGGCCTGCAGCCACATACAGACGCACATCCCCCCACAAAGGGATTTAATAGCTCTGCTACATTACCGCAGACCACACTGTGCCATCAACCTGCAGCGGCCGCCGCACAACGCGAGACCTCCCTTTAGTCACTCAGATCAGGATACAGCAGGACTCTGCCTCTCCAAAAGCTAGCGAATGGCCAGGAGGCTCTGTCTGGCTTTTTAAACGGACGGTTTGGTTTGGTACAGGAAGGAGGAAGCGGTGCACGTACTATGGGAACCTCCTTCTTCAGGTCGTCCATGTCCTTGCCTCCCTTCTTCTTGGGCGACTCCTTCTCGTCGTTGTCCTGCGTGGTGGCCACGCGGTAGCTGTCTGACCGTCCATACTGCAACACAGAACCACAAAGCTCAGTCCCAGTACCTCCCCTCGTTTAAGTGGCTCCACAACATTAACACGTTTTTAATATTTGACAGAAAGTGGGATTAAACCCCAACCAACAACTATGTTTTAGCAATGGCAAACAGTCTGGACAGATGTTGGCGAGAATTGTGCTTTTGGCTGCACGTGTTTCTGCATACTGAGCAAACTCAGCCTGAGCAACAAAAACCAGTCTAAAACGCACAACAATGCAATTAAACGATGCCAGATGCTTCACAAATGACATCAAGCAAATTCAATCTAAACACTGTGGATTAGACTTTTTTTTTGCCAGCAAATTTCAGAAAAAAAAAAAGTTTGAGTGAAATGGAGAGACGGTGGCATCTGACATCTGCCTGCCTGGTCGGCATTTCCCTTTTCAAGTTGGAAGGAAAAAAGCAGCCTGAAGTGCTTCAGAAGTTTGAATTTATATCCTGGAGCCATAATTTGACGGTCAGTTTAATTTGAAACGCTCACTTGAAGTCATGATCAGTGACAAACAGCCCAAATAACAAGGCTGGGAAGATAAATGGCTGAAAGAAATGTGTGTAAATAAGTGAATGAACGCTTTAAACCCGTTCTCATTTTGGATACTTGTGTGTGGATGAGTAAATGTACCCGCTGTGTATTCTCTGGTGTTTGTGGCCAGCTGTGGGGGAAGTGTTCCCTGGGCAATCGGCCTCACTGACCATCAGATTACAGCTGTTTACTACAGTGGCAGATTAACCCACTGAACTATAATAATCCCTCTCAATCCCTCCTGGCTTCTTTGTCTCTGCCATCATTTCAAACTCATTCTTTCGTTCTCTCTCACTCGTGTGTACACACTGAAAATAAAAACTACAAAACTTAAAAAAGAAACGTTTTAAAGCTCTTTAATCTCGGGGTTTGGTTAGCCAAACAAGAGAACTGATAATCTGAATGCTCTCCACACAGTCTGACCAAACATGGATGGTTTGTGCATAAAATGGCAAAAAAACTCCCAAAAAATGTATGATTCTTATCCATAACAAACACTACATCAAGCTTTCAGTGTGCCTATAAAACACAAATCAGTGCTCTGACTGCATATGAGAGCTGCACCTACAAACTGAGGGGTTTAGTTCAAAGTTCATTCAGCCTGACAGCAGAAGCAGGAGTTACGGTTCCTCGCTGCACTCTCACTGTGCAGAAAAGATCCATTAAGGATGGAGGAAGAGGAGAAGCAGCCATTTACTCACACAATTAGACCCATCCTCCAGTCGGGTCTCAGTCCCTGTAAGACTGAGACTAATTCTGTTACATCACCTTCACTCTGAGTCGTGTTTCAACATAAAAGACACTTAAAATATGCACAAAGAATTCCTGCTCTGATACCGAATGGCGATCGACTGCCAGAGGGAACACGTTACACCTCAATAAAACACTTCACGACTAAAAAAAATCAGTGAAAACTGAGGTGAGATGAACAGACACATCAATGTTCTGAGCAGAGTAACTCAGGTTTTTTCTGAATCATTTCCTCTTCTTGGCTCCACTAACTATGGCCCTTTCTGCCTCTACTTACACCTGATCAGGGCCGTTTCTTTGAATAAAGGGTCCAAGGTCTGGCCTGGGACGCCCTGTGCGTAAAGCCAGAGGGCTCTCTCGCATCATTGTTCCCAGAAAATACTGGTTTGATTGATAGGATATTTAGAAATGAAGCATTTATTCCTTAGTTAGTTTAGGATAAAGAGGCATTCTGTAGAAATACTTCAATTCAAAGAAAGCAACCCTTCAGAGAAAGTAGTGATACTGAAAGCGTCTGTCTGCCAATCACTACACAAACAGTGCAAACAGATGCTCCTGATTCACTGTATCTAATCAGGGACAATTTCCAGCTAAAACTGATGATGTTCCAGAGAGTACAAAGCCCCCCCTTAGCTCTAACAGCTGAATGGATACGACTACTGCCCTGACTCTAGTGCAGCGTAGTAGCTCCGGTTGTGCCCCGGCGAGTAGATCATGGAACCACACACATGATGAAATGGATAAACACGCAGATCAGCGGACTGGCCGACCCAGAAAATGCTAATGGACGGCCTGCCAACCACTCACACACATCTACACACACACACACACACACACACACACAGAGGGAGAGGGGTCACCCTCATCCTCCCACTTTGTTCACATTCTTTTCCCGCCAGGCTGCCCATCTGTTTCTGTCCTCTCCTTGTCTGTTCTGAAGCTTAATCAAGAGGAAACAAGCTGGACCGAAAACTGGACGCAGGCCAAGAGAACGATATCTTAACTGGTGAAAAAAGATTAGAGTCGCCCGTGCAGTATGATCATTTAGTAAAAGCATTTATCAGCGTCAGGAGTTTCAGTTTTGTTGAGGGGCCAGAACATCAGCTTCCAATGTGCAGTGTCCTAGCAACCCCAAACCCATCCTAACTGCACTAAACCATGATGCAAGGGGGGGGGGGGGGGGGGTTTTTTCCTGGGGGGGGTTAATTATGGCTACGCCGACCACAGAGCAGAGTAAGTAACTCTGGAAAAGCCTGAGTGGATCCACAGCAGATCGATGCAGCTTCCCACACAGCCGTGCTCGGATGGAAAGGAGACGGCGAGCCAGGGCGGGAATTAATGAAAAATCGACCAGCGGAGACAATTACAAAGCAAACGCCAATGTAAGACTGCAAAAACATACAAAGTGGACGAGATAAACACAAGATCGGCGCATCATTTTTCAGGATCTGTGTGTGTGGTGAATCTGTTACAAAACATTGATTTTTTTAATGCAATGTAAGGAAGCTGCTTTCATTTGAGACCCAAACTAAGCGATCCCCCAGCGGAGGCTCTCCCCTGATCCACCTTTCTGGGTCACACAGACTCACTGCTGGTCTGGGTGGAGGACTCATGCGTGATGTCTTTGTCAGGTCATTCGGTAGTAATGTGGTCTAGCTCCATCTCTGACTGGATCCATCTCTGAAGCTAACCCAGGCTAGATTACAAACAACCAGGGAGAACACACCACAGTAATGGACACAAATCACATTCCTCCTCAGCCCTCTGGATTAAATGTGTCCCACTAATGTGAAGTGTTAAGCATTTCTCTGCCAACATCCACTCACATTATAGCTACAGCAGCTCAAGCTGTCTGATAAATAAATGGCTCAACAGTTTAATTAAAAATATGAAAGGTGTTTCATGCTGCTTACTTCCCACTTTCAGCTCCAACAGTTATCCCACAATTCCTTTCTACAATTACATAATTTTCTCTCCCAGTTTTTTTCAGACACGCATAAAATGTGGACATTAGTTCCAGTCCGATTTGATATTGTGACGCAGAGAAACGTCATATCTATATGAAAGTCAACTCAGAAAGTTTAGCTCTTAAATTTCAATAAAATGTTGATTCAAAATGAGGTTTTATTCACAACAACAGCCTCTTTGAGATAAGCTGTTTTGTCTAATGAAGGTAAAATCTAAAATATCTGCGCCATGCTGAACGTTAAACTTCTACTTCTGCAGTTTTTTTCATACTAAACAGTTTCTTATTGATAATAGGACTAATACTGATGAAACCAAGTAAAGCTGCCCCTCACATAGCAGTTATAGAAATCAAAGGTTGAACACATACCCTTTAAATTAAATAGCACAGAACTGTTGGTATTGTGACTTTTCTGCTTTGCTCACAGTGGTTTTAATAGATTAAATAAATAAATCCAGATGCCATAAGGCATATATTGATCCTGTTTCTGAGGTTATAAGGAAGGTAAATGTCTTTTTTTATTCTTCGACCCGAGTTGCATCTTATTCATATTACATATCATGGTAAAATTACAGTGGTGCTAAAAACCGCTAAAGATGTGTTCAAGCACAATTGTGACCACAAGGTTTAGCACAGATATTTGCTGAACTTTATCTTTCATACTTCTATAAAAAGCTGCTCATGAGGGATTCTGCATACAGCCCATTATATATACATTATCAAATATACATTATAACAGCTTATAACATCTGCATGACCTGAACGATGAATTGCTTTAATATAATCATCAGGCGTATTAATTAGACTGATCATAACTAGCAGAATGTGTTAATCTGTCCTGTGACTGGAACAGAAAGATAAGTGTTGCGCTGTAAAGAAGATTGTATCCAGTGATTTTAAAATAACCCCAAAGCTGTTTTCATCCTCCATTCTGACCGATTCGGTTTTATCATCGTTTATTTTCTGGTTTGTGAAAGTGGAGCAGCGTATCTGTACACAGCTGGAGCCCTGGCTCTGCTCTCTGTGGGCACAGTGGGCTTCCACAGTTACAGAACCTGGACGATAAGTTACACGCTTTGGCCGACTTACTCGCTTTAGCAGGTTTGACGATGACGAAAAACCAAATCCACACGTGCACAAAATCTTTACAAGCTGCTCCAATCAATATGAAACTACATGTGAATGAGAAGCTAGGCTGAAGGGGTCAGTCAGTGAGACCAGACACTGACCACCAGGCACACAGTCTGAACACGACTCAAAGAGGTGAGGGGATCCTGCACAGACATCTGTCCCCGTAATGAGGACCTCATGCCAACTGTTAAAAAAAAGATACAGAAATGAGTAGTTAGGTCGCCTTTTAGATCTATTATAGAAATTACTTTGGTTTGTTTTTAATGTTCGAGTGTACCTGAAAACTATTTTAAAAAGATGCATCCGATATCTTCTGTTATCCATTTAATTCTCAGATTAATTTTTTACATTTCCTAATAATTCCATAATACTGACATTTCCTTCTTGGGAAACACAAATGTTCAGTTCATTCTCTCAGACTGTTTCACAATCAGCTGTGGAGACAGACTGATCTGTTCTAGTAATCATCATTAGATTGAAGGCCTTTTGTTCTGGTGTGTGGAGCTCTGATCAGAGGGAGAGGGGCTGGGTGGGGGCTCATCATGTATGGATGACATGTCGTCGATGAGAGAGGCTTTAGCTGGAAAAGACAGGCCACCACCCATCCCCCTCAGCGATTGGCTCTCCACTGGAAGCTTCCGCACCAAGTGCATTGTGGGATGGACTGGATTAATTCATCCAAGCACAACACTTTTTCTTCTCACTGTCCGAATGCGTCTCCGTTTTTCTCCTAAGGCTCCAACATCTTTCCATCCTTAGTCGTATCACAGGGAGCCCCCCCAGTGGCTCCCGCTTTCCTCCCGCTCTCCTCCAGCTCTCCCAGTGTTCACCCTTCTCAAGGTGACCCATCCAAAGCTGTCTGTGGAGCCCCCTCCCCCTTCACCCCCAGACTCCTCTCAGTATCTCTGTCCGACGTTGTGCAGGACCTCAGGAGGAGGCCCTGACCAGCTGAGCTGCCTTCATCCTCTCACCTTTCAGCCTGACCACTGGCTCCAGCAGCTGTTCTGATCAATTGATTGACCTGGATCAAATGGCTCTCGTTGCCTTGTAAACAGAACCTCCCTCCGGTTTCCCATCACGGCCCATTTCCCCTATACTCCCCCCTCTCATCCCACCCCTCCAGTGATGAATCACAGCTGGAAATGGGAGTCTCCATCATCAAACTCACTCTCTTTCAGAGTTTGTGGTGTCCCCCTCGGGCCATGTAGTGGGTGGATCGACAGGCCGTGACTAAGTGGCACGGTGTCCCAACTCGGCCTCGGTGCACTCTCATCTCACCCCCCCCCTCACCCCCCCACAGCTGAGGAAAAACCACAGCCCACCACACTTCACTGCTAAGGCTGGACTCTGACTCCTGGAGCTCCACTGAAACAAAGCCGGATTCCTACACCCTTTGGCTTGATTCTATCTGAACTCCCCCCGTCGTGCACATGTCAGCTACCGTGGTCACAAACACCATCCAATGGAAAAACAGACACACAGTGAAATAAAACAGAAACGCAACTGTGGTGTCCCAGAGGGAATGGCCTCACAAAGTCTAGTTCTAGTGGCTGGAACAGGATGTCCTTCAGGGGCAGACGGCCCAGCCAGGTGTCCTGGTGGGGAGTAAGCCGAAGGTGTTAGCGCGTCTGTTAGCTGTGTTGTGAGCAGCCCCTTCCTTTTACGACCCATCAGTAATTAATTGAAGGCAGAGCTGAGAAGTGAGGTGGAACCATTTTGACGCCCTCGTCAGTACCCACCTGGTACCCAGAGCTCAGCCGCCTCCCTATCTTCACCATGCCAGCATCCTCAGTGGCAGCAGCAGCGTGGCATTATGTAATGCCTGGCTAAGAAGCACCAAAGGGAGGGTGTGAAAACCACTGAATAAATCCCTGCCTGGGTCCCAGCCACCACCCTGTGGCACGATCCAAAAGGCGTTTTGGATCCACACCCTCCTTTTCAGGAATAGCTGGAGAGATGTGCAGCTGTGTGCTGATGAGCAACTGTTCCTGCAACCAGGTTCAGATAAATGAGGGGAAATCCGCAGTCCAGGCTGAGTTTTTCTTGTATTACCACCAGAAGCTTCAGTATGCCGGGTCGTAATTGCGCATTTCAGTCATATTACTCCCTTATTATTTCTCGTTTTTCCCCCCTGACTCATTCATATAATTATTTGACCTAAATACATTTGTATTTATATCTAAGCAGCCCTGGATATGCAGGATAAGGAGAGCGTGAGGTAGCACATCTGCCCGACTCTTTGTGAAAACACGAGTGGTTCGTGGCCACAGGCCTGCTCTCGTTAGCGTTCCGGGGCTCCGGGAGAGCCTCCGGCCGCTGTCCGCAGGCGGAAGCGGCCATTTGATGGAGATGGGGAGGCTGGAGGGATGCTGAGGTGGGTGACGTTACCCCACCGGCCGGAGCCTGGACTCGCAAAATGTGGCGCACGTATATCCTGCAAAGCGGGCACAGCCCGGGCACCGTGCACGCGCCATCACCTCAGCCTCCATCATCAGACCAACCGACCCCCCGTTAGACGTGGAAAACGGGCAATGTGGCGGCTTTCCCGAGCGGCCGGCGGGGAGGGGGCAACCGTGCGGCTGAACCGGTTTTCCTGCATAACGTTACAGCTCAATGTCATCCCGACATCACGCCTGTGCCTCCACCCGCCTCAACCCACCCCTAAATGGCTTAGCCCTTACGGTGCTAACCGCAAAGATTTAAAAAATGTTTAAAAAAAAAAAAAAAAAAAAAGGAGCTTACCCCCATTTTGGCGCCGTCAGTTGGGTCTCCTCTGAAGACGAAACGCTTTTGGACGTGGCTTAACCAGAGTGGGTGCGTTTAAGGCGAAGAGAAGGGGGTATGTGGGTGGGTGGGGGGCAGAAAACAGTTTATCGTCCGATAAATGAGAAGAAAATGTCCTCCGTCTGTTGTACCGTCAGCTATCGCTGCAATGACATAAAAAAACAGTCAATTGGCTAAGAAACTATACCAACATAGAAATGTACGAGGGATGGGGATAAGGTGTGGTGGCAGGGCGGCGTTTTATGGAGCACCTTGGCAAAGCTGGGCCCCGTTCAGCTGATTTGAGGGGCTTTGCTCCGGTGTGAAACGGCAACGCTGAACGAAGCCGTTGGTGCCACTTTACCAGCTCTGTGAGGAGTAAATGATGCCGGCGCACAAAGTAGGGCCGTCCAGCAACCGTCTCCTTCGGATGCCGTCTCCCTCCGCCACGGTGCGCAGGCTGCCGTGGCGCACGCCAGTCCCAGAATCGTTATCCCTCCGCGAATGACGCCTGAAATTAGTCCCAACGAGAAAAAAAGGCTGAAACAAAAAGAAACAAAATAATCAGAAAGTCTCAAAGAAACAGGGCAGACTAACTGTTTTGGATTTGTTTAAATACTTAGCCCCGGTATTTTAATCTTTTCATTGAACTTAACTGACTCCTACTTGATCCGATCAAGCATTTTTTCCACTCTCCCCTCCAGCGTTTTATTTTCCTAAATACTGGCAGCTTTTACTCGTTACCTTCAAAAGATCATTACTGTGGTCTCTGTGTTTGAAAGGGATGCTCGTGTTCAAGTGGTTAAGGGAAAAACGATGGGGGATGTGGGATTCATTTTATTTTAGACTTTTTCTGTTTCCAATCTACTTAAGACACTTTGTGTTGCAATTTCTTTGCGTGAACAGATTTATTCAAATGAATGGAAAACATTGGTCTTCACAAAGATTTGAATTATGATTGAAATAGTAAAAAGTTATAACACGAACATAACTTGCTACCCAGCATCCATATATAACTATTCGTTATTTAAAAAATACCTTATTCTTAAGTGTGAATGCACCACTTCAGCTTTAATACAGCAGACCTCATTCTGAAAAAACACTCCTACTGAACATGAACGGAGCATTAAGAGGAGGAAAATAAAACAATTAGACCTCTGATAAACTGCAACAATTAATATCCCCATGACAAATAGGCCCTTACTTTGATGGTGCTTCAAATTCAAGATTTCTTTCCATTTTTCTTTCGTTCAGTGGACTTGTCAGTCAGATAAAGGCTCAAATCAATTAACAAAATACAGATGTAAACATACGTCTAAAGCTACTGCATATATATACTGCCAAAGTTTACATGATAACAGGCTTTAAATCTACCTCAAAATATTAAATATGCACCTGAAAAAAACACAAATTTGAGTTGTCAGGTTCATAAAATAATAAACTGTCGGTCCACAGAAGGGTTATATGGAAACGCTACAGCTCTGAAAGGCTAAATCACAGAAGCCTTTTGGAGCTCTTCAAAGGCTGGATGTGATGCGGCACAATGCACCTGCTTCCCGCATTTCCAGCTAGCTGGCAGCAGCTGCTCCCAGAGCAGCCTCTCTGTTGCAAGCCTGAGCAAAAGCTGTTTGGATCGAGCGCACATCTGCAGCCTCAAAGGCATCCAGGGAGAGGCCTGCAAGCCCAGAGTGTCCTCCCGCCCTAGATCAACCCCTGAGACGGCTTTACAGAGATCATGTACAAGTACAAAGGTTGGCTAGAATAAAGATAACAATAAAGTGTTGTTCGAAGTCTAACGGAGCAAAGCAGCTTTTTTCCTGTGTTTGCCACCTGCTCTGGAAGATTCGTCAGTTTCTCTGCTGCTTATCGAGCCTTGAAAAGGAGTATTTTTTAGGCAGTGAGCAAAAGTTACAACAAACAAACCTCTCTAGAACCCAACAATCAGGTGTGAAATCTCAGGGTAACACTGGTCTCAGAGCTCAACTTTAACACAAATCAAACCAATAAGATCAGCAGCTTTTTGCCATTAAAAAACAACTCACTGGGCTCTAATCCAGCTGTGATCCAGCTGCAGATCAGCCAGAAACTGCTGCTCTGCTTAATTCTTGGGTCTGGGACTGTAATTTTGAATTTACAGAAAACACTAAGTGCGCATTGCACTTTAAAAAAAAAAAAATTGGCTCATCTGACAGACTGAAAACAGCTTTAAGGAACCTGCCGACTCATGATATTTTTAAGTGTATATGATTTTTTTCCAAGACACTTATCTGAAACCATAACAACAAAGTTTTCATTCATTTAAACTACTTTAAACCATTGTTTTTTTTTTGTTCTGGGCATCTTGCAGGAAACTGGGGAAGAAATGAAGAAGGAGCGCAATAAAAAAACAACATGACTAACAACCCAAAACACTCTTGCACATCTTCTCATAAAGGTTAAAGAACAAAGAGTGTATTTTGGGACTGGAGAAGAAAGCACATACTTGGGCGAGAGAAAGAACAGAAACATTTCAGAGACCCCGTCACCATAGCAACAACCATCAGGTCACCATGGTGCCCCGATCACCAAAATAACAATAAAGGAAACTGGAAACGGGATGAGGAGGCGGGAGAGGAACGCATGGAATCAGTTACTGAAACCCCGTTGGGTTTTTCTGCTAATGAGCACAACACAGCTCCAGCACACCCGATTCAAATGAATGGGTCTGCAGCCGTCTCCAGGGCTGGAACAGCTGAGGAGCTGTCGCATTTGTTTGGGAAATGTTGGGGAAACAAACCTGCAGGGCGCCTTGTTCAAATGACATATGAGAAAATTGCTAGAAACTCCTATAACTGACATGCAAAGATTCAAAATCATCTAAATTGTCAACATTTTGGTAGTTTAGAGCTGA